ATTATAAAAGCGGAGAGAATAAGATGAGGAAGAAGAGTAGAGTAGGGCACTAGTGGGGCAAGCGACTACCGTTGGGTCCATTCAGACCAGTTGCCCGGTGTACGACGCGATTCTTACTTCTTGGAGTAAAAAAATAAAAAATACTGAAAAATAACTAAAAAAAATACAAACAAGCAAAACAAGTTGAAGCGCCCCTGAATTCCATAACCGCACCCCAGTTCCCAGTTCTACTCCTTTTTCTTCTTCTTGCTCGTACCGTCTTTACTTGTTTCTCGTTTTCTTCCTTTTATTATCCTATATAGTACTTTCTCGCATTGTTCCTCCTGCACCAAGAGAGTTCCTTCACTCTACTCGAACCTCCCAGACCTCCAGTAACAACAAACTTCTTCGGTGCCCATGACCTCATCTTTTGGCTTCCTCACTTTCATTTCTTCTCATCCTTTCTCCGCCCTCAAACCATTGTCACTTGTAACTTGTACTAATAAAATTACTAGTTTTTTTTTTCATTTTTTTTTTTTGTTTTTTCTCTGTTTTACTCTTCTTTGCTCAAGCATTTTTATTTTACAAGGTGAAATAAAAAATAAAAACGCTCAAGTGAATGAACAAAGGGAGCGGTGAAAAATAAGCAAAAATATCAACTGAAAAAATAATCATTGGGATGGAATTTCAGCAGGGTTATTAAGAAAAATTGTAGATGAGTGGATAGAAAAGTGGTACATTGAGTGTCCCCTTGAAGAGTTCCCAACTAGACGATAGTGCATTAGAACATGACCGGGTGCGATAGTTAGAGGTAGAGGGTACATATCTTCTTGGTACACCTACAACTATATAACTACATATATATTATGTATATAAGAAGTTAGTAGTTAGACGGCAAGGCAAGTGCCTACGAAAAGCATCGAGAAAAAATTTTAAGAGTATGTGCGATGGTGGAAAAAGCAAGTAGAGGAAAAAGAGCCAGGCGGGCGCCTGCAGAGAGGACAGGGGGCCAACTGCCGGAGGATGAGAATGAGGTGGTGGTGGTGGTTGTTGTTGTTGTTGTATTAGTATTAGTATTAGTATTAGTAGTAAAAGTAGTAGTAGTATTCAGAGAAATATAAAGAGGAAGAGGAAGAGAAAAAAAGAGGTGGCTCGGAGGAAAGAGGCACCATCAGGGGGTGGACGAATGCAGGTAGGGGGCATAAGGGGGGCAGCAGTTGCCCCAGTAAAAATCGATCCACCCCACTCTTTTATACTTTTACTACCCCAGGAATGGTGGATTGGGGAACGCGAGGGATTGAGAGGGTGGTTGAAACTGCAGGGTTCGCTGCCGCGTCGGGACGCCTTGTTCGACGTCTACTCCACTGTGTATGTACATTTGTGCAAGTAAAACTTATATACATTCATATATGTAGTATATAGTACATAGGGTTTTATTTGGGGGAGAATTCGCGATAGTGGACGGGTGCATCAGTGTGAGTTGAGTCGAGTTGGTGGAAGCACAGCCAGAGGTACTGAGTTGAGAGGTATGTTGAGGGTAAGAGGCTGGGGGTGGAGGTGGAGGTAGAGTTAGAGGTGGGTGGAAAAGGCGGTAGGGCATGGGCATGACTGGGGCTAGGGTTGGGGTTGTTGCTGCTGCTACTGCTACTGCTACTGCTACTGCTACTGCTGATGCCGATGAGGGTAGGGTAAGACGAAAAAGACGGGCACGCCAACCGAAGCGGGGGTGGAAGAGCAGTACCCGCTTTACTTGGTATGCCATGCTCTGTGGCAACGTCGCCCCTACGATTTCATGGATATATGGATGTATATGTATATATATGCCATCGCGCTTCTGTCGTCCGCTGCACAACGATGAAAAATTACCCAGAAGCACCAGTGAGCGGTTTTTTCTCACCGGCCCGACGTCGTCTAGCGTGGAGTCCGCGTGCCTGACAGACAGCTGCACCCGAGCCCTGATATATCGACCGGTCGGACCTACTCCTAACCAACCACCCCCGCTGCCACCAACTCTTTTTTCCAACCTCCTCTCCTCTTTTTTATCATCGCTTCCTCATTCTCTTCTGGTACTCACGGAGAAGCTTTGCGCTCTCGCTCCCTCAAGGTTCCGCCAAGCTCTTTCTTCGTTCTTCCTTATCCGACTATACTAGGCAGTCTTCTCTACTCGTGGGGAGTTAGGGAGTTGGGCAGAGGTTTTCTCTATTATACACCTGCACCTATTTGGAGTCCAACACGCGGGGGTGCCGAGCATGCCTCAAGCCGCCAGCCATCCTATTGCACTCATGTCAACATACACTCTTGTGTGAATATGTGTGTGTGTGTTTAAATGTCTATGTGTGTATGAGCACTCACACAATCAGCCACGTATTTTCCTTTTCCACCGAAAAATACTCACGCCCCGACGACTCTGGCTGGAAAAAAAAAAAATTCAACGAGAATTAAAAACACAAAAAAATGCGATGGAGAAAATAACGAGAAAAATATGTATGGGTATATACATATATGGATGTATATATTTTTTTTTTTTTAAATTAAAAAATAAATAAATTTAAAAAACTTAAAATAAGAAAAAAGTCAAGGTACCGGTAAACGAGGGTATAAAATAATTGAAGACGAAGAAGGGTTACTCTAAACTAGTACGTCAAAAAATCAAGAGAGAAATTTTAATGAATTTCCTCAATTTAGTTTTTTATTATATGTGTAATTTTTTTTTTTTTTTTCATTTTTAGTCTTTAAAAATAGGAAAATGGAAGAGGAAAAACATGTGTGCATGTGTTTGGCAAGTTGATCACGAAAAACTACTTTAAAAGTCTTTTTTCCTAAATAATTTTATTATGTACAACATGCCTACATTATTTTTTTATGCAGAGCATTGAGATTTTTATACATTCCAGTGGAATGCGTTGACATTATTAATAGTAATAATTACGATAACTTATTTTGTTGTTGTTATTTCTTTTTTTTTATCACTCCGATTACAATTTTTAAAATCGAAAATAAATAAATAAAATAAACAAACATTTCTACTTGGTACATTTACACAATTTACGGTAAAGGGACGCTTTTTTATGTTTGTTAAATAAAATAAACTCCTCAATGTTTGTTTATTTTTTTCGATTCATTTTTTTTTCTAATTTTTATTTACTTTTTTTTTTTTAATCATAGATTAGTTGCACGTTACCATCGTCATTTATCAACGTGCCGCGTTTAACTGATAAATGAGAATATACAACCTCTTTGGCATTTATACGACGTAAAAAAAAAGGAAGCTGATATTATAAGGCAGTAAAAAGGATATCACACGGCACAAAGAATTTGAGTTTAACAAGTAAAGAAGAAAAAAACGAGAAATCTAAAAAATAAATAATTACTATGACAACTCAAGAAAATGCAAGTTTGTTTTTGTTTAGTTTTGAAGGCAAACAAAGTAATAGTAACAGTAAATAATAAATATTAAAATAGTACAAACGGGTATAGATAAACTCAGAAAATAAAAAAAAAAAAATACAAAAAAAAAGTAGAACATAGTAAAAGCATCGCGGCTCGTAAAATGCTTACACCCTAATTCACACATCGATGTATCTGCTTTTATTATTTCAATATATATTTTAAAACATTAATTGGTCATCTATCCTACTACGATTTATATCCGATCGTTTAATAAAGAATGGGAGCTACTGCATTTATTAATTACACATAATAACTAATATTATGTAAATGTATATTAGATTGATTAGAGGCATCAGTTAATAATAAGAAGAATATTAATAATAATAATAATTGTGTCTGCATAGTGCTGTCTCTCAAAAAAAGAGGATTTCTATACAAACAACAAAACATCAACGATTTTATTTTCCTTCACCTTAGTACTATTTAGTCAGTATTGTAAAATGTATATCAGAACTTTTTTTTTCTTATCATCAAACATTAGCGTAAATAATTCTGGTCCATTTATCGCATTAATTTTTTGTTTATCGTTAACTCAACGTTTTTTTCCTCTTATTACAAACACCAATAATTACAATCGTTATTATTAAATGTATATAAGATCACCGTGGTAACTTTGCATTAATTTGTTATTATTTATTAATTCAATGGACTTATATCTGTTTGCATTTTTTTTGTTTTAATTTTCTTGTACTTAATGGTAAGTTGATTGATCTTTTTTCTTTATCATTAGCAATTATTTAGTGAAGTGTAAAACATTCACATTTAATAATATACATATCACATGCTTCAAAACATGTTAAAAAATGCATTAATAATTAATTAATAATAATAATTTATTAATAATTAGTTATGCTGAAGTATCCATATCCCCATATCGTTAGAAATAAAAGAAGAAACAAAAAATCTACAAATATTGTCAAAATATAATATAATAAATAAATATTTATCGTATTTTACATTGTCTGAATATATATATATATATATATATTTTTATATAAAAAAATATGATTACGTAAAATTGAAAAAAAAAAAAAAAATAAAATAATAATAATTATTATTGTTAACAGTATACATTTTCTTTATACTGGAGACTATTTTTCATTTTTAGTTTAACAAAATGAAATTATTTTATTATTTAATTATTACTATGTAGGAATGCGCTCTTTAATATTAACACGTAATCATTTGTTATATAAATTAAACCTGTTATAATTCTTAAGCAATAACTTTGTTCATTAAAAAAATTGATCTTTAAATTGAAAGTTGTTACAATCGAAACATCAAAGTTAAATATTAACATATGGCAAGTTGTACTTCACCTCAAGATAAATATTAAAAAACAAAAATCTCTTTATATATATTATTGTTTTTTAAATTGATAATAATAACACAATAGTAATAGTAATAATTATAATCATAATATTTAAAAATCAACAAAGATACTTATTACTTTTTGACTGCATTGATATAAGCCATGTATCAAATACAACGATACATCGCGACTTAATGTATTTAATATTAATTAATTGTATTAATTATTTGAAATATCTAATTAACATATATTTTATTACCGTTGTATTTATATTGAAATAATTGTTAATAACAAATCTTAAAACTTACGTCGAGGAATCGTCATGATTACCAGTACTAGTACCACCACCATTACTACCGTTTCCATTATTATTATCATGTTCAAGTCGTGATGATCCGCACACACGACATTTACAACATACAATACACGGTGCAGCTAATAACAATAGTGGAGACGCTACAAGAAGTAGAAGGCCAAAACCCGCAAAAATACCTATCACTTGCGTTCGATGCCATATAACAGAGGCTCGAGAATGTCCTAATTTATTTTTACATGGTCCTTTGTCATAATGCCTCAGTAAAAAGTCATCCTGAAAAATAAACAATTGTAATTAATTCATCTCTGACGATGATAACATAAACATTAAGTACTTAGTGATAATTTTAACAGATATAAATATTTATAAGTTATAAAAAATAAACATACGTCTAATGATGCTAAGCAATACCAACAGAATACGTGTTGACATCTTTTACACATCATCTGAGCACAGCCTTCGTCCTTTTCAATAGGCACTGAGCACATTGGACAACATTTAATGTGATCATTGTCAAATGGTATACCCAAAGGAAGATTTGGACATGGTCCATTGTGCCATGATTCACGGCATACTGAACAAAAATCCGTTGAACAATTTGGACAGTGCACCGGTCCCGGTGACATGCCATTACTTCCTGGACTATTTATGGAACATATCGTCTCACAGCCAGCACGTGGACACCATGCGCGGTCTTTATCCATCGACACATCTACAAATAAAACATACAATCTTAAATTATATATTTAGACAATAAAAAAAAAAATTTTCTTTTAATTCAACTACATTATTAGCAATTTTGATTTAGAAATTATTTCTTTGAATAAAATCACACATTAACACTTTTTTCAATATCAAAATAAATAAATATTTTTTTTATCTGCGACAGTTTATTGCCAATTTATCAGCAGACACTGAAGATTTATTTGTTTGAGTAAATATTTTAACTGTTTGTCATATTATTGAATTGTTTTTTTAAATAACTCTGCATATTTTTTATTCAAAAGTATTTTAATAAACAAAAGTATTTGAATTTATTACGATAATAAATATTGTTAAAAAAAAAAAAAAAAAAAAAAAAGATTTACTGTGTAAAAATTATAATAGACTGAATTACTTATCATAGATTTATCTAAGTTACATAACAATCAATGTAACAGTTAATGAATATCTTATTGTTCCCAATTAATTTAGGCGTTATACATCATTTATAATTTATTACTAATGTACAATTAAACATACCAATCAGTCTTTATTAAATAGAGTTATTAATAAGCATTAGTAACAATTAATCAATAAAAATAGATTTTTAAATTCATTCACACGAACATTTAATTGCATATAAAGATTTATAGTTAGTATTAAATCTGAATATTCATGATTTGTTGGAGTATAATAAATTTTAAATTTAATCAGATCAATAAAAATTTATCTAAATATTATTGCTACTGACTGAGAGTAATTTTTTTATCTATTTTAAGTAACTTTACGTAGTATCTGTAATTTATTGAAACAACTCAAAATCAATAAAGTCACAGATGAGTCATATACATTAGAACTTGACCCAGTGTTTAACAATATCATTGAAATATTTAAAAATAAATAAACTAATAACTTATTTATATTTATTAAAACTAACATTATAAATTATTTTATTACAAACAGTATATTCATCAATATATTATCCTTTAATTTTCTATTTATTTTTTTTATATTAGTTAACGACTAATGGCATATATAAATATACCTTGTCCAAATAAATCTTCGCAGCTTAATTTACATTTGTCAGCAATTGAAAAAATAAATAATTTAATCTTACAGATTTATAAAAAAGTACTTTTAGACTTTGTATTGGTGACGTAAAAAAAGTATAATTTAATCAGCAGTTGCTATAGCTTTTAGTTTGTTCGATTAATTAAAATACTCATTAAATAATTGTTTTTAAAAAATACAAACCTCTATTGAGACGGAATTTTTGATGTTTTTCCATTAATTCCGAACTAACAAGCGTCGATATTTCTTTTAACGTAAGAATAGACGACCAATCACACTGTGCATCCGGACAGCTAATTTCATAAGCGCCTTCTTCTATTTCAAACTCAACGTAGGCTTTCATACACTGAAATAAAATATATTAATTAATAAAACAATCTCAATATAAATAAATAAATGTATAAATATTATCCTTATTTTCATAAAACGAACGCTGACGTCGTACTTACATCTTTACAATAAAAACATCCGCAGCCTTCGATCCTAAATATCTTGGAGACTGTAACATCAACAAGGCAGAGCTTGCAAAGAAATTGACTTGAAGTTTGTTGTTGTTGTTGTTGCTGTTGCTGTTGCTGCTGTTGTTGTTGTTGTTGTTGTTGTTGTTGTTGAGTCTGCTGCTGATTAAGTTGATTGGTAGTTGTAGACGGAACAAAATTACCAGCAGCAAGACTGTACCTCGAACTAGACGCTAGGGACAGTAAACTAGAGCATCTGGAGCATACTCGGCTCTTATTGATGGGTCTATTCTCCAGGTGTAGTGTACTAAGACCGACAGCAGTTTTACATTTACGTAAATTACTCCCTGGTGATAAGTTTGCCCAACTACCACCCTGGATACCACCAACAGCTACATCAGCTCCATGACCCATTGAAGCACGTGCTTCAAGACTGCTACTGCTCTCTGGTCGCCCAAGAAGTGGTACATCAACGCCATTACTACTATTAACACCATTACCATTATCACAACCACCAGTGGCTATTAAAGAACTACTTAAACCTATGTTACTTAGACCACCTTTCCCAATTATTGTTCTCTCAGTTAATAAAAAATTGTTACCACTATTTCCAGTACCAATACCAGTACCAGTGTGCTCTTGTTTAACCAACGGTAACTTAAGTCCAACATTGCTCAATTTATTAGAAGTCTTATTATTATCTAGTTTCTTGTGTATCGTTCCATTTTTTGATGACGCTGGATTCACAGAAGTTACTGAACTGGTAGCAGTACCCATATCCATGAGAGGAGCTCGTCGTACGACGAGCGTTTGTAGGCTAGGCATCCCCTGATTAGAGTTTTGTGTTTCAACACTTTACAACTTACACTCTATTACTATTATTATTATTATTAGTAGTAGTTTTTTTTCTTCTATATAATTGCAGTAATAATAATAATAATATTAATATTTATGATAATCAAGATGATAATAATAGTAGTTTAAAATGTCTCCTGTATATACTCTTAAATCACTGACTGCAGTTATTAGTCATTGTACACTCCTTTGTATATCAAAACCACAAAATAAACATACTGGACGTATTATCACAATCTTCAATGACACTGATCCACTGTAAAAATAAAATTCGATGCATCAACGATACTACCAGCAACCAACTGTAGTAATGATAAAGAAATGAATAAAAAAAATTTTTTTTATATATGTATATATATGTTTTAAGTAAAAGAGACACTCACGATTTCACGTTATTGAGATAACAGTATTACTGGTGCTGTAAGATGTGATTAAAACACCCAGATCTTTCCATCCATTCGTGATAGATCAAGATTTGTTAATCATAATTATCACTATCATAATCACAATCGTAATTGTTAAATAAAATAAGCCATGTATATATATATATATATATAATCCACTCACTAATATTTTTATAGTCGTCTATTATTATTACTCCAAAATTCGTTGTAAATACGATTATTTATAAAATAGTTGTTTAGTAATATCAATTTTTTATTGATAATGTTTCTTAGAAAAATTTTATACGAATACGGAGTGACAAAAATTACGTTAAATTTATTGGTGACAATATTCGGTGCACAGCTAATTGATGATCCTCTGTTGCTACTGTACCAATACATTTTACTCCAGTTATTTCTATAATTGAATAATTAATAGCTTTAATTAATAATAGTGGTAACACTGTTAAAATATACGCTAATTCGTTTTTCTCCATTACACCAAGTGCTTGACATAGTTGACTCCGCGCACTCATAACTGCAGCGGTTGCTGTTATGTGTTATACATATGTATGTATATACTTCTACTGATTCATACTTGGATCTAAATGTATATATATATATATATATATATACATATACAAGTATATAAATGTAGATATTGTGGTAAAATCACTACTACTTTCACTGTCAAACTAGAGAGGCACCAATGTATATACACTAAACTCACCGTTTTTAGTTTTATTATTTTTAAAATAATATACTTTCAATCATTACTAATTATTTCGTTATTTAACGTTTTAATTTATTTTTATATTTTGTAAAAGTATTTAACATTTTTATTGTTTTGTTGGGTGATTTGCGCGTTAATTACAGATGCCTTGATAAGATCACTATTGTTGATATTAATATTTTGTTAATTAAATTTATCTATTTATTCATTTATAAATACTCAACACTTGTGATAAAAAAAAATAATTATTATAATAATAATAATAATAATAATTATTATTTTTATTAGATTATTTGTTGTTTGTCAAGATAATATCTCTTCTTCAGTGTTTATTTACTACTTTAATTCGATCCATTGTTTTATCGCTGTTAATAATATTAATATAAATTCTATCGAATGATTGACACATTATATATAATGGCGGTAGCTTTACGTACATTGTTTTTGTTTGGATTAAACATAACGCCCGTCCCCGTGTGACTCATTTTATATTCACGTTTTAAATACGCTAAGGATACACAAACTACCAAGAATAAGAAACGAGAGAGAAACAACTTGGAAATATACAATATACAACTGAGTGGGAGATTTTTCCAGCATGTGTTGTATTATGTATACATTTATATATAGATATACAGGTATTGGTATGGCTGCTTGTATGACTTTTGTATACACATATAATATAATATATAATAATAAATATAGATATATATTGTCTCTATAAGTTGTATCGTATATAGTATCTTTGTAGCTTGTTTAAAGACTCACCCTCAATCCGGCAATTCTTGATTTCACCTTCCACGGTAAAACGTTAACTTTTAACGAATAAAACGACAGTAGCGATCAAATGACACGGTTATTCTGAAGTTCATTGAAAATTGTTCAGTTGTAAGAACATCAGAAGACTATAAATCCCTAGATTCGCTTTTTTTATTTTTTTTTTATTTACTTTGTTCTAGTAACTTTTTAGAAAAACAACCGAGTTGTTAAAGAATATTATTTTACATATTTATAAATTAAAACTTCATTTTTAATAAATATTTCATTAAAATAATTATTTTAAAAAATTACATAATCTTGAAAATTCATAATATGTCTTCTCAGTGATATTACCTTTCTTTGTTTATAGAAAAACAATCACGACATCTTTTTCATAGTGACTTTTTCTAATACAAAATTAATTGAAATAAATGCTTGTAATAAAATTAATTATTTTTTTAATAAATTATTTATTTAACACACTTCCAAATTCTTAAACTCTTAAGTCTTATAACAAAATATAAAAACTACAATTAAATTTTTTCTCATATTGAGATATAAATACAAAGATTAAATTTTTATTTTAACAAGAATATAATTGATCTGTAGAATATTTATCTATTAATAATTATTATTAATTATAAAGAAATTTCACCTGGCTGACTGAATGGTCCAACTCTGGAATATTTATCAACTGCTCTTACGGCAAAATAATATTTAATACCCTTTGAAAGCTGGAAGCAAACATATTATTGAAAATTTGTCTAATCAACTATGAACAATATTTATTACCTGAGTTAAAGTACAAGCCATCGGTAATTTTAAAGCACAGATATCTCCAACTTTTTTCCACATTGATGAAGCAGGTGCCTTTGTATTCTCTCTGTATGTATACAATTGATAACTTTCAATATCTGCATATTGATTATCGAGAGTCATGTTCCAAGAAACGACGATTCCTAATAGTAGTAATAAGATTTTTTATGAGTAATTAATAGTTGAAAGTATTGATTGATCGCTATATTAATTTTTAGATGATCATACCAAGGCTAACTTTAGAAACTTTTAGCAATGGAACAGGTGGTGGTAATTTTAATATCTCATCATCAGAGTAAACAATTCTTTCTGGAAGTGGTGCCGGATGCTAAAATCAATAATAAAATATAAGCATAAGTATATGTAGGTGTTAGTAATGTAATTATATGCTTCAATAATTTAATTTACCTTGTATTTTTGCGTCATGACAACCATTGTTAGTAAAACAATTAATTAATTTGAAATTATAAAATTTGAATTCTTAAAAATATGAAATTTATTAATAATTAACATACGACGCGTGACGACTAACCTATGACAATAATTTTACTAAAAAAACCCATCTCTAGTATTTGCTACAAACATTGAAATGTTGCCAACACAGGGAATAAAAGCACAAGTTTTTATTTAAAATTCATAGAGTTTATTTTAAATGAAAACCTAGTTTTCTGTATTTATACCTGGAGGGAATTATAATGTGCACGAAAATCGATTTACCGTGGCAGCATTTAATTTTAAAAATAGAATAACGATGACATTCAATTTAAAAAAATAAATTATATGTTAATTTAGTAGGATATAAAATATTTAAATGATTGTTTCATTGTTATGAATATTTATTTTCATTTGTTCATCAAATAAATATTGTTTATTATCTAGTATTGTACATTCTCATTCTCATATTTCATAATTGAAAAATTATTAATTTGTTCTATTTTTTTTTCTCGCTTAATTATTTTTGACTTTACACACTCCCTAGAAAATATCATTTTTAATTTAAGAAAATTCAGATTTACTAGCTTGTATTTCAAATTGTTTAGAGTACACAATAAAATAAAATAATATAATAAATTAAACACGTGAAAAATAAGTTCATTTAATTTTCACATACGATAAACAGTATCTATTGATTATAGCAAACGATTAAATTTAAAAAAAAAAAAAAAAAAAAACAATAAAACCAGTTAAATAAAGTTAATAATGATTTATAGAAAAAGAATTAAAATTTAACATTACATTGTTTTTTTTTTTTTTTTTTAATCAAACAAAATATAATCGACCGTACTTTGAACATAAAACAATGAAATATATGATACTTTTAATTTCATTTTAGAGAAACATCAAATGTAACAAATTTTAGTTTTTTTCACTAATTAAAAGAGAATGCAATTATCATTCACCCATTACTTCCATTTAAAAAAAAAGAGACTTACAGCCATATATTTACAATGTATGAGTATAAAAACATATCGAGAACACAGTTCCTAGTATTTTTGTAAATAAAATTGTAACCACATGTGATGGACTATTATCATTATTGTTATGAGAACTTAATTAATATCTTAATATAATTAATTGTGTTGAAAACAAATATTAGATATAAAACATCCTTAACATCATTACTACAGCTAGTACTAAAATTATAATTATTATACTATTAATATTATGTTATTAGTAGTATATGAGTTTTTCAACACAATTAATATCAATTTAATTATTTATCACTTATTTATTACAGAGAAATGCTTCCTGGTTGACTGTACTGCCCAAGTCTAGATAAAACATCAACAGCTCGAACAGCAAAATAGTAATTATTACCTTCGGAGAACTGTGAATAAGAAATAATTATAAGTAGTAATACAATCTTAATCACATAATTAACTAAATAATGGATCGAATAATATACATATTAAATTACCTGGGTCAATGTACAAGCCATTGGTAATGCTAATGCCCGAACATCACCGACTCTTTTCCACATAGACGTACTAGGTGCCGTTCCCACGACTTCTTGATACGCAAATAGCTGATAGCTTGCTATTTCTGCGTATTTATCTGATATTGTCATGTTCCAAGATAAAACAATTCCTAAAATAAAATTTGATATGATTGTTTGGCGTTAATTATCAAATATTAAAATTTTAATTACTTATTGTACAAAGAACAACATAAATAATTGATAGATATATTATTTTAGTTAACAATAATTTACATACCAGTAGAAACTTTGGATATTTTTAATGATGGAGCAGGTGGTGGCAGTTTCGATCCCGCAACTATTGTATAAGACGGCGTTGCTGGAAGTGGTGCTGGATGCTGGAAGTTTTAAAAATTTTGATTTATATTAATATTTATTTCACGATTGAAGTTAAAATAAATTAAATTAAAATTATAATTTATTATACCTTGGCTTTCAGGGCTGCTGATACTACACTATTTGGAGCTGTTGTTACAACTCGTAATGTTGAAGCATTTCCTAATGTTGGTACAGCTAAAAATGAATAAATAAAAAATCTGTTAATGTCATTCAACCCTTAACAACACCAACCAATATTATTAATATAAAGCATCAAATACTAACCCGAATACGCAATACTAGGAAATGATTGTCTGGCATTCGTTGTAACTGCCGGCCGAATCTGATGATGATTAGTTATCAGTAATTGTTGTCCCGTACCGTTGCCCTTCATGACGAATAATTGTTTAGACGAGTTCATGTTCATATTGTTCTGAAAAAAGTGAATTAATAAATAAAATAATTCTTTGTTAATCCTGAAAATATCCATAGGCCAAAAATAATCTCTAGTAATAAAAAGATACTTACAACTAATGCAGTTGGTGTAGGACGTTCGGAAGGTTGAATGACTTTAATATTAGTAGGCTGCCCTATTGTCATAGCTGGAGCTGATTGAACTATCCTCTGGAAACGTGGCGGACCTTTTTGGATAATTGTCGCTGAAGGATCTTTAGGTGTTGGAGCAATTGCTGCTAATGGTGGTGGTTCTAGACAGAAAAATTGATTTATTAATACACTATTAAACATTTTTGTACTATTTGAAGATATTTAAAAAAAATATAAACATACTTTTATTCTTTTCTTCTTCTCCAGTAAGATCGATCAACGTGTTATCGTTGTTGGTGTTAGTGCTCCTTACATTTAGAACCTTCGCCGACCGGTTGATTGAATTGTGTGTGGATGTTACCACTCCATTAAACGTAATAGTTTGCTAGAGTAAATAAAAATGTTTAATTAGAAGAAACCGTTATTAAATTACAGAATTATTACTACAAAAAATACTTACATTAGACAATATTTGATGATTAATAAGTTGTGCGTTTGAAGTTAATGGAAGTCGAGAATCAACTTGTTTAGAAACAACTAAAGCAGCTGGTGTAACATTTGTTACAGGTTGTGATAATTGAATAGTCGTTTGTTGTTGTTGTTGTTGTTGTTGTTGTTGTTGTTGTTGTTGTTGTTGTTGTTGTTGTTGTTGTTGTTGTTGTTGTTGTTGTTGCTGTTTTTGTTTTTGTTGCTGTTGTTGTTGTTGTTGCTGCTGCTGTTTTTGCTGCTGTTGGAACTGTTGCTGTTGTTGCAGTGGCAATGCTGACGCTGGTATAACTACTTGAGCTTGTTGACTTGGAATCGCATTTTGAATCGGCATTAAGCATGCTGTCGATACAACTGGTGAACTGCCCGGAGTTTCAATTTTACGTGGCGATCGTACTTTGATTCCTTTTATAGTTCTTAGAGCTGGACTGACGGAATTAGAAACATTGTTAGCTGGTTCATCATTTTGTTTGACGGGATATGTAGTTACACCATTCATAACCGGAGTTGATTGCTGTTTACTAAGTGCTAATTGTCGCAAATTTTGCACTCCTTGATCCTATTATAAATAAAATAAAGTTATTTACATATTCAATGGTTTAATTTATGAATCGTAATCCAGTTAATAAAACTTACCGTAACAAAATTAACTTGTAATCCAACGGATCTATTAATTTTAATAGGGACTATGGGCTTATCAGTTTTTTCATTTAGTTTACGATCACTCTCGTAACGCTTTATTACCATGTCAAAATCCTTAACATGTTTAGCCAATTGTTGGCATCTCGATCGCGTTGCTTCTTGATTACGTTCTGATATTTTAGCTTGCTCACGCAGCTTTCCAATTTCATCACGCATTGTTATTGTCTCCACAATTTTTTGAACCAACAACTCTTCCAGCTCCTGGAAAAATAAATAATAACCTTCAGTATTTATTTTTTTAATATTAAACTAGATAGTACATCAATATTATTTAAAAAAGCTTACTTCCTGTGTGAATTTCGATAATTTTTGCTTACAATCTCGCAAAAAAAAGGTCCTAACATGTTCTAAAGGTTTTGGTTTGATTTCCGATGTGAGAATTTGCCGGAGTTCACTTTTGTCGTCGTCTTCCGCTTCTCTCTTTGGTTTTTTTAATACAGCACCAATATTAAGCGACTCGTCTTTATCAAGATAATGATTACGTTTCAATGCAGGTGGTGATGTTGATCGTGTATTATTATTATTATTATTATTATTATTATTATTATTATTATTATTATTATTATGACTAATAGGTTTATTGTATTGAATCAACGATGATTGTTCACTAGATTCTGAATCACTTTCATCATTATATTTACGAATTATTTCCTGAGCTTTTTGCGCTGTTTCACGTTTTTGACGAACATTTTCTTTTTCTGTAATTAATATTATATTTTTAGTATTGAACTTACTCTCAATAATCAAATACATTTTTTATTTACTATAACAACCGAATTCATTTGTTTTATCAATTTCATATACATAAAAAAAATGACAAAACAAACAAAAAAGCATCAAATAAATTAGTATAATTTTAAGCCATCATCAGCATACTTCACAACTAACTTTAAACAACAAGGTGTTGACAAATAACAGAAAAAATGAAGTAATTAAGGTAAGTAAAAAATTATTTAATAACTTTGTTAGTAAAAAGAAAGATAGTTTTTTAACTCATACTTCAAGTAGCATAATAATAATAAAATAATAATAATAATAATTAAAACAAAAATAAAAATATATTTTATATTAAGAATTTTTTTTACCTTGTCCTTGGTGAACGGCCATCTTTACAGATGAAGGACTTCTTCTTTTCTTTCTTCTGAGTTTTCTTCTTGGATGGGCATCACTTTGACGTTCGGTACTAGATCGTTCATTGGCATCCATTTCTGATACCAAACTATCGTTATTTTGTGTTTCTAAACCATTGGTAACATCTTGAGTAGTACAGCCTGCACTGTCATCGACATTGCTCAGTACTTCACCATTCTTCGGGGTTTTTTCAGAGCTATCATTTTTACTAGCATCATCAACTTCTGCAGCATTATTGTCAATCTCAACAATGTCTTCACTTGCATTATTTTCATCAATATCAATATCCTCGGTATCAGTTTGATCTTTCTCAGACTGTTTCGTGACGGTCGATGATGATGATGATGTTGATGATGATGATGATGATGATGATGATGATGAGCTAGAAGATATTGTGCTATTATCACGGAAAATTTTTTTGTTAGGACTTTCAAGGCTATCTTCCGGACTGATTAAACGACGTTTAGTTCCAGGTTCAGTAGTATCCGGTTCACTATTCGACGTAAGTTTAGTAAGTGATTTAACAACAATAATATTGTTATCCTTATCTTCAACACTTTTATCTTTATTCGAATCAGTTTGACTGGTTTCACTTGATTCATTGATTTTGCTTTTATCAATGTCTTCATCAACCTCAATAAGACTATCATCGCCAATATTGGTAGCTGCTTTAGAAGGTTTACTCTTTTCTGAATGACGATCACTAGAAGTTGTTTTAGCTGTCTCCATTTTTGCTGATTCTATGTGAATAATATCGTCTTCCTCTTCAATTTCTTCGTCTCCCAGCTCTTCAACCACGTGGACTTCGTCGAGTTTGTCGTCCTCAATTTCTAAAAGTACTTCCTCGCAAGTTAATGAATCACAATTATTATCGTCTTCACAATCGTCAGGAGGACTACTACTTTCTTCAACAGCACTCGAATCCTTAGCTGACGATGAGATTTTCGATGTTAATGTAGATGACAATGCTGATGTTGACGTAATACTATCGTCATGTATTTCACTATCCTGCTCATCAACACTCACAATTAAATCTTTTTCATGATTCTCATTAGTCGTTTTATTTTTATTCACTTCACTTTCACCATTAACAGATAATGAATCATCCAATTTACTGTCTTTTACCTTTTCCAAAGAGGATTGATCTTCTTCAATTTTAAGGTCAGAGTTATTTTCCACCTCGTGTTCTGCTTGGTCATTAACTTTAGTTTCTTCTACAACAGCTCCCTCTTGTTTAACATCTGACTTTTCCGTTTTGTTGACACAAGTGCGACTATCACTTAACGGTTTTAATTTTTCTTCTTGGTTATCCAAATTGTTACGAGTGTCATTCATTCCATTCAAACGACCATCAACACTTGAAGAATTTGCAGTAACTGAAACATTTTTTTGGGAATTAAACCCTAGTTTAAAGTTATATTTCTTATCATAAACCGAAAACGGCGATGCTGACTTAAACGACGAATAATAATGTCCACACTCAATTTTTCTACGTCTTCCATAATAGGAACTATTATTATAATAATATTCTTTGTGAGCACACGAATCAGAGTGTAATGAACTACCAAAATTATCACTATAGTTAATTTTATTAATGTAATATGGGTTTAATTTATTATTATTTGGAAATGAATTTTTGAAAGCGGTGGGTGTTTGATCCATGTATATGTTAAACATGGCTTGCACTTTACTGTCATCACTCATTTTATGCTCCGTTAAGTCATAATCATCTGCAAAATCATCAACTACTATGTAAGCTTTATTATAATAGTAATGAAAATAATTATTATAATAAATTTCTCGGATAAATTGGTGATGTATTAAGATATCACCATCCGGAGCATCAACATCTGATCCCGAGTCTGTAACCAACAAGGTACAACCTCAAATTTTTTTTTTTGTCTGAACGCTTTTTACTGAATTATTTATATAATTTCTGTTTATAATATTATATTTATTCTCTAACGATTAATCATAAACAATTGATTAATCAATGATGAACTTGTTAACAACTTAAATTTTTCAATGCTTGTAAAAGTACAAAGTTCTATTCTTTCCATGGACGCTACGTAACGCTCACAAACAAATATAATATTTTAAACAATTGAAAAGAAAAAATAAAATTACCAAACTATATAATTTATACAATAAAATCATTTACCACATTATTACCAATTCTTACATAATATTGATTAATCTTGACCAAAATTCAACTATTCTATTCTTGAGACTTGAGTCTTAACAATAGTAAGTATTAATTTAACCAAGATTAATTACTAATATGATTTAAAAGTTTTTGGATTTGTACATTCATAAGTTATAACACATAATTAGGTCTTCCCAACTTCTGATCAAGACTAGGATCATAGATGTCATTATAAAAATTGTTTACATTCACATTTACAAGGATTTGTCAGTAATTAGTTAGTTAGATAAAATAATGGTCGTTCTACAAAGTGTTAATTACAAATAGGTTATTAATGACAGAAAAAAGTAAAAATTCGTTAGTGGAGGATTAATAAAAATCTACTAAGGGTTAAATATGAATATGAATTTTAGGGTTAATGACTCACCCGTTGATTCAGTCTTTAAATATTTGAGCTGATTACTAGAAGTACTAGATGTTCTTTCACTATCGTCAGCGTCGGCTTCATCATCAGACAGCCTCAAACGCAAACTATCATCGGAAAGTGCATCATCCTCATCTCCATCTTCACCAGCATCATACAACAGTTCTTCCTCTAATTTTTTACTTATCTCGTCGTTTCCACGTCCAGAGCACGATAGAGGCGAACAAAGGGCTTTAGGTTCGTTCACATGCATTGTAGCCGTTTTTATTGGTTCCATCATTTACTATTAATTCAATTGTTTACAACTATACCGGTTTATTACTCGAGGTTTGTATACAAAATGATACCAGAAACACTAGATACTTGTTATTGGTTCAAAAGACTCTAGAATAGTAAATTTTTTTTTTTGATTTTTGAGATTTTAAAATAGTTATCAATAGTAATGATCAAGATGGAGTGATGAGTTACCTCGTAGAGGGCAGTGATTATTATTTAATCTTTAATTGTTTATAAATAAAGTTGAAATTAAATATTTAACATTGTAGATGACTCTGTTTCTTTTTTCACAGAAGATCTTCAAATTCTACGACAGAAAAGAAATACCAAAATTGTACTTTATGGTGTTATAAAAAAAGTAAGGTTATTTATTTTTTTATGACAATTTTTATAAAACTCAATTAATTGTAAGTATATGTAAATAAAAATCGCTAATGCGCGAGGCGACGTGCGCATGTTAAGAATATTCACCAAGAGTAGGGTAGAAACACGCTGAACGTATTATAATCGATCGTATGGTCGAAACTGTATATCGAAGCCGATTCAAATTCAACTTCGAGATTTCTAACCTCATTTATTTGTTTAAAATTTTCCGAATTTATACTCAAATTAATTATTCATTTATTTAACCAAATAATTAAATACCAATAATAAAACATAAAATATATTTTTAAAACTTGGCAAAATTATTCAAGCAAGTAGGTAGTTTTATAAAACTGATCAATGTTTTTTTTTTTCACCAAAAATAGTAACGAGAACGAAATTTTACCACAACTTTTCAGTGACAATAAACTTCAAATTTATAGGTTAACATCACTCGTCAGTTCGTCAGTTTGGACTCAAACATGGAGTTAAAAAAAATTATTTGACCTCAAAAATTGATAAATTAATTTAATTTCAAAAATAATAAATCAAAAATTTTGAGAAATAATTTTTGAAAAAATTAATCATTTTGAACTTGAATGGAAATTTTTAATTGATTGAACATGTGCCGGCCCTGGTTTAGAAACAGCTGAAAGTAAAAGTCTGGCAAAGTTGAGCGTGTGTTCGTGGCGTCTTTCTCTGTGTGGGGAGCACAAGTACTCACTACTACAAACAACCCTACCTTGTACTTCAGAACTACTGTACTAATGTATATATATATATACCATTATTTAAAGATCAGAGTAAATAAAAGAAAGATTAGTGAGATAATTAAATTAAATTCTTTACCTTTAAGTCATCCATGTGTATTTACAGCTATTTACAATTAACCACCGATATACTACTAAAAATAAATAACGTGTAGCAATGCTAGCAAAGCGAATTTATCGACGGCATTGCACGTTTAACGTAGAACACTGAACCTAGGCCCCGGGGTACCACATAAACCGAACTCTACCGAGTAAACACGAAGTCAAAAAACATGGCGATTATTATACTCTCTAAAAGGATCCATTTCGATCCACTGCTAATGTACATATAGACACATTTATTTTTGAATAATCAACTATTAACTTAGTAGTTATTATTTAATGATATACGGCTGTCCCTAATGACTTAATTTTTTTTTTTTTTCTATTATTCACGTATTAGCACATGAGTAGTTAGGTCATTTTCAATTTCAAAACTAGGAATTACGTCACGAGCAATTAAGGGCAAATATTAAATAAAAAATTACTGATTTCATTAATAAGATTTTAGAAATTTTGTAGGTGTATTTCAATTTACAAACTCAAATTCCGATACCTTTAGCAGCTAAGAAAGATGAAAAAAAATTTTTAATTTTTTTTTGGCGCCAAAAATCAAGATAAATTTGAGTGCCTTTTAGAGGGTTAGAAATACGGAAAAAAATTTTTTCGTTCAAATATTAGAGGCGTTGAAAATCGAGTTTCTGATGTCAAATAAAAATTATAAAAATTTTGTTTGCCTCTCTTAGTCGTGAAAGGCGCTGAAACTCGAGTTTATATTAATTTAAAGCTGCACTACAGCTGCTCATGATGTATTTCGGAATACGCTGTGTTTCGTATTTAATATTGGCGCTCAAAATGAAAATTTAAACAAACTTTCAAAATTTAAGTATAATTTATCTATCGATTCTTCATACTTAAATAAACAAATATTCAAATTAATCAACTCCATTTTGACAAAATAAATAATTAAAGCAATTTTACTACCAGTAGGCGATTGTTGCCAAAAAATTCAGTTCGAATCAGAAAGAATTGCGGTTTTAGTAAGCGTACATGAACTATAGATGGCGCCCGCGTACATGTTTCCATTGATTTATTGATACGTTGTTCATGAATGTTTGCGTAATAATTTTTTATTGTAACTGTATGTTATTACTTATTACGTATCTATGTATGTTTGCATGTATGAATGTATGCACGCGTGTATCCGTGAGTAGTAAGTCTTACTATTCCATATGCATAAAATAGATGATTATCATACGAATAAGAAATTATTTTTATCATGGTGTACAGAACACCCTTCCATAAATACTTCAATGGTGAATTTTTTGCACTTCTATTCATGAACGGTGTGACGTACAATTCGTAAACTAATCGATTCTGCGCGTTCACAAAATTACGCTTTGCATAATGTGATACAATGTGTGCATTGATATTTAGCCTTTTGTCAAGTTATTGATATATTTTCAAAATTGTCTCACATTGGACAAATAGATTATTACTTTGGACAAGAATGATTATTGCAAAATTTTTAATTATATTGTCAGCGTTCATATTTATATGGATTTGCGCCATTTGATAATGGTCACGTGGTAATGAAAAACTACTGTAGAAGGCCCCACTAGCAGTATTTGTACACACAACTATATAGCTTGTGAGAAATCGATAAGGTTTTATAAAAACATGTATTAAATAATTGAATAGGCTCAAATAATCAATCGATGGATTTCCAAAAATAAACGAATATCTATTTTAACCATGTTATTTACTCTCTACTGTCCTTCTATTCTCAGTTAATTACAACGCTGCTGAATATAATTGAAGTTCGTTATAATATATCATATGTACGCACGTTTCACTCGTTAATAATAAAACTTTGTCCTCAATGATGTGGTTGATCTTCAAATTGAATCAAGTTTCTAACGTAACGAAAGTTAAACTCGATATTTTTTATTAGAAGAAAACTTCTTTTGGGCTCTCACTGCCAAGGTTATGCATATATTTTGTTGTAATATTATATACCTATATAGTACGATATATACGTATCACGAACGGTAAAAATTTTCAATTTTGCATTATCTATTTATTATGGGTTTGCATAAATTTTTTGAACTGATTCCAAATTTATATCGTGTAAATAACTAAAAATGCTTTTGCTCATGTTATCTTTGATATTAATAGATATTCGAGGGTCAAAAAGTTCAAATTCATTCTAGAGCATACTAATAAACAATCAATTGTTTATGAATATGCTTTAGCATAAATGAGATTTTTTAAACTTACAACCTAAATCAATAATATATTGATATTAAGTTGAGGTTCAATCCTAACCTAAAAAACTCAAAAATTCGTAATACCATGCGATATCAAATAAAGAGCTTAAATAATATTACCCTTGTTTCGATAATGTTAATTTTTGATAAAATAAATGATAACAATTTAGTAAATGTTGTTAAAAATAGGTGATAATTATGAAAAATGTACAGTTCAAGGGTATGCGCATTCCACCTCTACCCGATAAGTCTTATAACATACGCCGTCCAATGAGATCTTACGAAATAATCATTATTAGTACAATATTAGTAATATACAAGAATAAATAATACTTACATTAAATCAGGATACTGTAGACGTAATATTAACAATACGAGTATTTGAAAACTATTTTTAAAATAAAAAAATTTCACACGCGGTGAATGAAGTTTCAGCCAAGTTGGACGCGCAATGTGTTGTATCCGACCATCTACGCAACTCAGCAAAATCCGAACAGGCTGATGCGACGTTGCCAGACTATACAACGTTGCAATTGTTTAATGTGGTTTACCTCACAATAAATTTCAATATTTCTGCTAACTACTTATTATTATAAACAATTTTAATTATTTTTATGAATATTACATAAGAATATTTATATAATTTTAAATAGTTTTTATTAAATTTTGACTAATTTTTTCTATATTTTTAATATTTTCCAAAAGTTCAAGTTCGATTTTTGGCCACCTACAATTTTCGCGCATGCGCAATACATTTTTTGGAAATTATTTTATCTTTTTGACAATTTTTAATTTATATGAAAATTTCACATTACAGCGGTATTTTTGCATACCGGTATTCTAAAAGTATGTCATTACTTTTTGCTGTATTGATAGTTTGCAGTCCACAATTTTGAGCAAATTATCTAATAATCGATAGTGGTGAAGTACAAGTAACGTAAAGTCGTTTAATTGTGAACTTAATTATTGTTAAAAATAATTTTTTTGCCGTTTTTTCATCCTAATGAAAGATCGATATATTCAACTTTGGATACTGTACGATTTTTTGACTCATAATTTCGGGTATCATTAGCTTTAGGAAAATGTTAACATGCAAAAATTCAGCATGTGAGTGGCATAATTTTTTTTTTTTTTTTTGGTAAATTAAGTAAATAAACATAAAATTAGTTTATTAGATCAGTAAGGAGATATTTTTTTAAGAAAAAATGTGTAGTATCCAAGTAAAACGTGGTGGCGCTATCTGCTATCTTACTTTTATATATACATCGCAAGATTGCGCAGGCGCAACTTTCTGTCTTTTATAATTGTTAATTATTTGGAAATTACATATATATTTATAAATAATTCTACAAAAATAACTAGCTTTAGTCGGAGTTTTTGGACCTGAAGATTTCATGCAAAAAAGATTTTACATGTTAATTATCATTCAACTCAATAACAATTGAGCGCTAATTACCAACTAATTGGTGATCGTATAAAATAATCCGTTGACTCGATAACTGAAACAAAATTAATTAAAATAATATGTATATTCATTGTTTGAATTTATGATTGGTTTCCAGAGCTTACTGTAGCAACAGCCTTGAGTGAATTAAGCTTTCAGGAATAGCGTTCAGAATAAGTTACAGGCATGGATAGAATTGTGGGACTTGCTGAGAATCGCTGAGCAGTATTCAACATTTTACAATGTGGTGACGTCAGTGAGGCTCAGTACAACCAGCGGCTTCTCGCTGGTGTATTTGTATTCTGAACCTTACAAGTCAACTGGATTTCAAATATGCATGTTGTAGTGACTCTTGAATGGTACTGTGAGATACAAAAAACAGCACCAATACATGTACTACCGAACGTACATGTTGAACAGCGAGAGGGGATACTTTCGTGCGCCTCTATGGGTGTCTGCTGTACTACTTGAGTCACTTGACGATCGATCGCTGAAATAGTATAGTTAAAACCAGCCGACACTTTTTTTCAGCTTCAGTTTATCCTGTTATTGATTGCCGTCGTAATATACTTTTGCTAAACGACATTTGTTTTACTAATTATTGGTAAAGAGTTATTGAATATTTCTGTAAGTACTCATTGATTTTAATTAGTATTAAGAAAAAATCGATGCTTGATTATTAATTATTTTATTATTATCATTGAATAAATGTTTAGATTCTGACTTTCAGTTTTGGACGCCGCTTAAGTGTAATGCCGGTGTATTTGATGCATCTAGATCATTGATCTCATTTGATCGTTACTGTAATTTTATTTTGATTTATGGTTTCAATATTTTCATCTCATTTAATTCCGTTCGTTTTAATAACTAATTGACCTGTCTTAAATCTTAGACTTATTTTTTTTTTTCTTTGTACCAATAACGGCTTATGATTATTATTGTACTTTTGTCGGGTTTTTTTTGTTTGATAATCGCGAAAATCTGACAGTTTTCTAGTGAAATTTTTCATTAATTAATTTTTTATGTAAATTTAATTAGTTTTATGATTGATTATCATAATTTATTACACTGATAAAAGGACTTTTTACCTATTTTAAAATATTTACGAAATATTTTCTCAATAATTAAGGAGGTCTTTTCGCCGCCAATGTAAAATAAAAAATATTAGATTATGAGTAAATTCAGTTTTTTTCTAATAGTTAAGGTCCTTATTTATTTAATAGTGAGGTTTAAATTATACTTTACTGGACAAATTTTTGAAAAAATAAAATTTTTAAATGTTAGTATTTTTGTTCAGAGTCTTACGAGAAAGTCAGGCGTTTGCAGTATTTCTCGAATTATACTGCTATCAGTCATGGATTAGATGAAGTGAAAAAAAACTAAAAATTAGATTTTCGAAATATTTAGGTTTCTTTTTTTGCAATAAAATATATATCAGTTACCGAGATATTTATTGAGAAATTAATATTTTAAAATCACAAAAAATTCTCAAGTAACCTACATTAAAATGGAATCAAAACATTTGGCAACATTTCGTAGCGCGCGAGCTTCAGACAGTTCAATAAATTCAAACTAATTTATTTATTTACACTGACTGCAAAAACTTAAACGTGGTTAAAGTTATATTGTGCAAATGAAAATGTAAACAACCGAAGTACAGCGTTGCCAAATCACGGACAAGTTACTAGCAGTTGATTTGAAAGAGTCAAATTAATTTTTGTATTTAACTATTTTTTTTTTTTATTTTCAAAATTTCAACGATTAATGCCTCATATACTATTTATTATTTAATTTTAGGAATTTTTATGGGTTTTTTATTTTAATTTATCGTATATTGACTACTACAATTGTTTTGACTCAACTGGAGCGAAAGGATTTCCTTAAATTATTCATTTTATATTGTTCTAATAAAACTTGTCTTCGATTTTTGAGTTATAAAATATTGCTTCAATTAGTGTATCATATTTCGAACATTCTTGAAAAGTCTTATCATTACATTCTTATCTAAAACAATCATTAACAACTGATGATATCATTGTATCGCTAATAGTGTTACTTTTTAATTTTTAATAATATAATTTAATCTTGATAACTTCCTGTTATGATTACAGCAATAATGCCGAGCTACAAGTTGACTTACTTCCCAGTAAAGGCATTGGCCGAGCCCATCCGCTTTATTTTGAGCTACGGGGGTGTGGAGTTTGAAGATGATCGTTTCGACAGGAATGATTGGCCAAAAATCAAGCCAAGTGAGTTGATATTTATTAATTAATAATATTTTTCATACACTAGAATTTGAATTTACGCGCGCAAGCGCGTGCCTTGACTATAGAGTTTGCATATATTTTCATGCTTATGATATATTCAACCAATCATGTTACGAATAGTTTGATGCCACATAGATTTCATCTCTATTTTATATTAGGAATATTTATTAGTATTTTAGAAAATTACTACAGCGAAAAATTTTCCTTCTAGCTATGCCATTTGGTCAAGTACCAGTGCTCGAAATCGATGGCAAAAAGGTGAATCAATCTACAGCGATTTGTCGTTACTTGGCTAAGCAACACGGTCTTGCTGGTAAAGATGACTGGGAGAACCTTGAAATAGATGTTGCTGTTGATAACATCCATGATCTTCGTGCAAGTAAGCTTCCCTAAAACACTAAAACCATGAATAGTATTTTACATTTATTTATATTAAAGGAATGCAACTAATGCTCAATTTTTAATGATAGAAATTGGTGCTTATCATTACGAGTCACACCCAGAAGCAAAAGAAGCGAAACGTGAACCATTGATGAAGGAACAACTTCCATTCGCCTTAGATCGTTTGGACGAACAAGTCAAGAAAAACGGAGGATACTTCGTTGGTGGTAAATTAACATGGGCTGACATGGTATTCGTCGCTTTGTTGGATTACTTGAACTTTATGACTAAATTTGACATTACTGAAAAGCATGAAAATTTGAAGGCTCTCAAAGAAAAAGTCCTTGCTCTGCCGAAGATCAAGACTTGGGTTGAAAAACGCCCTCAGACTGAGTGTTAAGCACTTATCAAAAAAAAGTTTTTTTTTATATTGAATAATATTTGCTAGACGAGGCTCAGCATTTTTCCATTTGTACTTTTTCATTATTAATTTTCCACTATTTTAAGATTAAAATTATATTCTGAAAGACTTATTAATACAGAAATAATATTTGTATTGGCCAATGTTGAATTATTTAGAGTATATTTCAATAAATATTTTGTACCACTAACCATTTTATTTTCTTCTATAATCCTGAAGCTGATTTTAAATTAGTAGATGTATTATAATGGATTTACGATGAATAGCTCACGAGATCTTTGATGAAGAAAAAGAAACAGGAGATAATAACTACTTCTCGAGACAAGCAATTGAATGATTCATATTGTCTATTATCCAATTATACATTATTTTTTTAAATTATTTTGTTTGAGGTCACGTATTCATTGGAATTTATAATTTCTCAGAAACATTTCAATTATCGAAGCAATAAAGATCAGATTACAAATATAGATTCAGACAATTAATATTTACCAATAAATTTACCAATTTTGTTAATGATAATCACTTGTTCTCAGGATTAAGATGCTTAGCTAGAACAAAAGCGCTAAGTATAAGCTTCCGCCACAAAATATATATTTTGTTGAAAAAATCATAGGTTTATATTTTGTTGTCATTTGAACGTGAGTCGACCTACTATACTTAGTGCAGCTTACAGGATTTGTTAATTTTTCTGGTCAACTAATCTAACCAACAAGTACTATGCCTTGAATGTACCTAAAGAAGAAATTAAAACATGAAAAAAAGATTTTCCTTTAGAATTTCAAGAAATTTATTAAATTTTTTTGCTAGCTGATTGATTTTTTTTTATTTCTATATTTTTCGCTGAATTAATATATTTACTTAAATATTTATAAGTAAGTATTCAAACAACTTTTAACAAGTGTTTTTTTTTTTTATATAATATTTATTATTTAATGACGTGATAGATACTTTTAATAAATAAATAAGAAGCTTACTGTAATAGCTTCCGTGTAGGGTATTATGAAGTTTTTATATTGATTCAATCATATTTAATACATTAAATTTCATCGCGAGATCCTTCAAAGTCAAAGAAGCATATCATAAGTAATAAAATATTTGTAGTTTAAAAATGACACTCAATAAATTACGTCATTAAATAGAACGACTAAGTATAATATTATACTTATATTTTTTATTTGAGATAAAAAAATCAATACAAATAAAAACTACTTGATAACTCGGTCTTATTATACAAATGGATATAGTTTAGAGTATTAATCTCCATTAAATCGACAGCGAACAATGTGTTTTTTGTTTGGCAGTGTCATAACATCAAATGATGATTGTTGTTGTGGGAGTATAATATAGAATAGCAGTTTAAAAAAATAGACAATGAGCTACTATGTAAAACGATTACTGCTTTTTAAATAACAGCCATTGTTATAAAACATGATTATACAAATTGCAGTTCTAATTTACTATTTACAAATTACTCTAGCGATAACAAAACATTTTATATCGCCAAGATAAATTTTCTATCAGAAGTTTAAAAAAATAAATCAACAGTTATCTCAAAAACTATAAAAATTTTTAATCGATAATTAAACAGAGTCTACAAATATTTATATAATTCTGATTTAATTGCGCAAGTCATATGTATGGCATTTGAGTTAAAGCATAATTGTAAATCATAAATCTAACACAAATGTCGTAGTTATTAGACTTTTACCGCATTAAATATGTAATTAGTTCACATATGTAGTTAGTAATAGGCGTTAATTTTTCTGGCACTATTCGAGTCATCTGACGTTTATTTATTCAACTAGAGTTATTTGTACTCTAAGTATAGCTCAAATACTTAAATTTACGTTGTTTTTTTTTATGACAATTGCAGCCGGCCTTTAAAGGAGATTTTGCTGATAGTTATTTTGCGAGATTCAATCCAGTAAGTACCGATCGATCTGTACTCTCGTCAGTAATCAGTTGAAACTTACTGACTACGGATTAGCTTCAAGATTAATTAATTAATTAATTATTTGAGTAATAGATAATAATTACTAATACTTTATAAGAATAATGTTGCGAAAAGTTTTCAATGCTGTTGCTACGCGCTATCAACAAATAGCGTACACTGCTGGTAGGTCGTTGACCCTTACTTTTTTGTTGTATATTCCCAATAGTTTTTTGATAAATTCATACATCTATAAATTCAATGATAAAACAATATTTTTATCATAAACTTTTTGTATTGTAATTAAATATTTCCCGTATTTTTTTTGCATTTTCAAATTTAATTTAAATTCATCATTCTTTTTATCTAATGGTATTTTATTTTTTGTTTCCTCCTTGATTCCACCAGAATACAATTTAATTAAAATAGGAATGACTTGAAATATATCCTTGTGTACTACTAACTATTTTTTGTGAAACTGCTCTAAGAAATGAAAATTTTTTCTTCCTTGCAACAATCTATAATAGTGGTAAGTAAAAAAAATAAAAAAAAAAACAAAAAAAAACAATAATATAATTGATTACGATAACGTTTTTAAAAACTTATCAGAATAGAAAAAAAAAAGTCTTTATAGTTCGATTGCATTTACCTTATCATTTGCAAATAGTGTGTTTTTTTGTTTTGCTCAAGATAATTTTAAGTTCTCTTAAGATAATTGACTTAATTCAGTAAGTTTTTATTTTGATAGTTGCAGTAAAACCACAACCGAAGTTTAAGCTAACATATTTTCCATCAAAAGCATTGGCCGAGCCCATTCGTTTTATCTTTAGCTATGCGGGTGTGGAGTTCGAGGACCACCGCTTTGAACGAGACAATTGGCTGAACATTAAACCCAGTGAGTATTTATCTATAAATAGAATAAAAAATTATAGAATAATTAATTGTAAAAAAAAAAAAAAAAAAAAAATGTAATTGATGAAAATTTATTCATTTTTAAAATAGCCATGCCGTATGGCCAAGTACCGGTACTCGAGATAGATGGAAAAAAAATAAATCAATCAGTAGCAATTTGCCGTTATTTAGCGAAACAATATGACCTTGCGGGTGAAGATGATTGGCAGAATCTGAAAATAGATGCTACTGTTGAAACCATACACGATATTCGTGCAAGTAAGTCTGTTAGTCATTTACTTTTTACTATCTACATAGAAATGTTTTAACTTAAAATGACGCTTATCTATCTAGAACTGTCACAAATATAATTATTAAAAATTATTTGATTGCAGAGATAGCTGCATATCACTATGAACCTCATCTTGAAGCTAAAGAAGCCAGATATGAGCCATTAGTTACTGAAATTCTTCCGTTCTACTTGTCACGATTGGACGCTCAAGTAAAAAACAATGGCGGATTTATGATAGACGGAAAATTGACTTGGGCTGATTTGGTATTCGTAGCTTTGTTGGATTATTTAAACTTTATGGCAAAGTTTAATATTATAGAAAAGTATGAAAATCTGACAGCTCTCAAGCATAAGATTCTTGATATTCCAAACATTAAATCCTGGATTGGCAGGCGTCCCCAAACTGAACAATGAATTGTGTACCATATGATTACATAACTCGGAAGACCATATTTGCATTTCCTTTTTACATTCATTATACTTAAGATATTAATATTAATATTAATATATTGTAATTTGCAATTTGTAAGAGTACAAATAATTATTACACTCACACACACACATACACTTACAAACCTCATTAATTAACTATAAATAAATATTTTATATCAATAAGATGTTGTTTTTTTTAACTTTATTATTAATGAAATGACGCGCTATAAAATGTTAATCAATTATCTCAGACCTTCAACATCCGTGCGAAGAATATATATTCATCTCTGCGCAAAATGAATAAAAGTATTTTATTCTATTCAATATATATACATATATTGAATGTACGTACAATTACAACATCCTCAAGTGATTATTGAAAGGGAGAATTTTTCAATCAATGTAATAAAATAAATGTACTTTGTTTTTCCATAATTACACTTACAAAGGCCGTGTAATTGTTACAAGTTTAAATTTTTTCTCAAGTCTGTAATTAGCATTTACTTTTTAATGGCATTGGTCGAGAAAATTTTCATGATTCATCCCGAAGCTCATATCAATATCTGAAACACAAATGAAATTTTTTCAATAAAAAATTACTGAATTTTCAATAAAAAAAAATTATAAAAATTTTTAAATATCGGCTAACTTAATTTTCATAAAAAAATATAATAAGCATCAATTTTTATCCAACCGACAGCGAACAATAAGCGTTGTCTCTGAGTATTATGATTATTGCTATTATTATTATTATTATTATGATCATCATAAATACAGCCGTAGATTGCTATGGGATTAGTGAATGCAGAATATAGCACAGAGTATACATAATAGACACGAACAAGGTTTATAAGATGCAAAATAAAAAAAAAACAATGAGTCAGCGTTGTGCGAAACAATTATACCCTGTTTTTAAGTATAGAGGGGATTATTAGAGAAGATAACATGATGATGATAATAATAATAGTAAAAATAAGGACGATATGTCAATGGTGATATAACTAATGTTTTAGCTTGTATTCAATATCACTCTAAAGCCGGGTTCTATACTCAGACTGCAAAATATATGCGAGTCAGTTGGAATCCAAGTGTTCTCACATCAAGACCTGCCATTCCTATCTCCGCTGAAACCCGGATATTTAATCATATCCTTCGTTCCATGTACGTATCATGGCTTTGCAATTTACACCACTTAAGTTATTGCGTTATATAATAAAATTTTTATTAAAAAATATTGGTACCTCATATTTATTAATCCTCTGTGTAAATATTTATTTTTGTAGATTGAATAATTGAATTGTGATCGAAAATGCCGACTTACAAGCTCTGGTATTTCAATCTTACCGGTTTGGGTGAGCCTATCCGTTTGATGTTGAGCTACAACAACATTCCGTTTGAGGACAAACGGATAGAATTTGATGAGTGGCCCAAGTACAAAGATCGTAAGTATTTTTATTAGATTATATTTATATTTATTTTATTATTCCAAAGTTTGTAAAAGTTAAAAAATTTTTGAGTGATTGGAAGGTATTTATTAAATTTATTTCTAACAAAGTTTAATAAAATTGTAGAAATGCCCTTGGGTCAGATGCCAGTCCTTGAGATCGATGGGAAAAAGTATAATCAATCAAAGGCGGTAATGCGTTGCTTGGCGAAGAAATTTGGCCTTTATGGTTCATCTGATGAAGAAGCATGGGAAATTGACGCTACTGCAGATGCCATCGATGATCTGAGAATCCGTAAGATGCAATTTTATTTTATTTTATTTTATGTGTATTATGTGGATTATAAATCGACTTTCCCTAGACGGCAGTATATATTATATTTTATTTTAATATTATTATTATGTATAAATTTTTTGTATATTATACTTACTACCCTTTTACACCAGCTTATAGCCTTATAAATCATTTTTTTTTGTCAGCTCTGTCGACTTACCATTGGGAAGAAAATCCAGACTTCAAGGCAAAACTCAAGGAACCTGCTTTCAAGAAAAAGGAAATGCTGATGGCTAAGTTTGAAGAGCAGGTGAAGAAGAACGGAGGATTCTTTGTTAATAAGAAGGTATGATTTTTTTAGTCTTATTTTAATTAAGATAGATAAAACAATTATTTATTATAATTTATGTATGTTAAGTATTTAGCTGTGGGCTCTGTTTATTTTGTTTATTTATTCGACAGATGTCGTGGGCGGATTTACTTTATGCAGGCTACACCGACTATCTTTCTAATGTTCTCGGTCACGATTTAAATAAGGATCATCCGGAACTTAAGAAACTCGTGGATAAAATCCGAGCTCATCCCGGTGTCAAGGCTTATTTGGATAAACGCCCGAAAACTTCCCTGTAAAATACTAAATCGTACCGAATGGTGTTCAATATTTTGCACATTAAACTTTATTGTCTTCTATAATCGATTTATGTTTTTCAAATAATAATTACTACTTTGCATATTATTCTGTCTGCGTATTTTTTTATATTCTGGCCTAGATATTTTTTGAGATAAGGGTATCGAATTTTATCTGTGTTATAAAGAATATAAATTTACACTAATCTTTTTTACTGCCTTTGAAAAATTATTTTTTATACATTTTAAAATCTAAACTTTGTTTTTAAAATTACAATATTTTATGAGTGTTTAAATAATAATAATTTACATTGAAAAATTTCCATTGAAAATTTCATTATGAATCGTATTTTTTCATCATCATTAGAAAAAACTTGTCGATCCTTGATATTATTGATACCTTTTTGCGTCATCCAGTTCTAGTATGTTAATCCAAGTAATATGATCAAAAATCAATATACCGTGCAATTTCAGTCTCCGTTACTTCATTTTATCCATAGCTTGAAGGTTACAATTACTTTTCATATAAAATTTTTCTTACTTGAACATTTTTGAATTTCATCAACTTGAAGAAACGTTATTTTTATATTTTTCTGAGAAGTTTCACTTGTTTGCGGCATAACCATCAAAGTACTTTTTGTCTACTGAGATAAAATAACACTTTAAGTATTACATATTGTTATCACCATTACGGTGTGTCATAAAAAAAAAAGAAGATAATCATTAAAAAATTTTTCTCTATCACATCATTGTGAAACACTCAACGAAGCGATAGAAATTAAATATAAACTATTATTAGTCACTAAAATCCTTTTGTTTTACTTTCTGCAATAATAAATTATTGCTTTGACTATAACAATTCAATAGATTAAGTAAAAAAGTTTCAGTGTTTGAGAATTAAATCATAGAATAAAATTTATAAAATTAGCCACCAAAAGAGAGAAATGTTAACATGTGATAATTTATCACAATAAAGTAAATTAGATATTAGCTTTGATACTTATTATTTATTTTTATTTATTTTCACATCAAATATCTAAGTACGTTAATCATTCGGTGATTTCTTGGGCGGATTTATTTTATACAGATCATCCAGAACTCAAGAAACTCGTGGGTAGGATTCGAGCTGATCCTGCCGTAAAGGCGTACTTGAATACCCACCTGAAACTTGAGCTATAAAATTCTACGTGGCACCTAACGGTGCTCTGATTTTTTGCACATTAAATTTTATTATGTACACCATAATTGATTTATGTATTCCAAATAATAATTGCTACTTTGTACGTAGTTGTCCTTACAAACTTTTATACTTTTTATACCTGCATACTTTTAACACGAAGTCATTGAATTTAAAATATCTTTTTATAAAAAAAAAAATCTAAATTGATACTAAATTTTTTCACAATATTTAAGCGATAATTTTTAATTACAATTAATACATCAATTTAGTTTTTGGTTTTAGAGTTGATAATTAAGAATAATTTTATTATTAAATTGATAAAATTTAAAATTTTTCACTTAATTTAACAAAGTTAATCTTTTATTGATTTTAAAAAATCTACAAAAAATTTTTTTCTATTTCATTTTATCTTATAAATATATTTATTGTAATATTTAAAATTCGACTTTAATTACCGCTGGATAAGTTAATTAATTTCTAATTTTTACTACCATGATTTCTCTCTCTTAAAATAGCACTAAATCACAGGCAGCGCATAAAAAATGAACATGCGTCATATTTAGTTTTATCGAATACATATAAAAAAAGCTAATTTAAAATTATAAATAAATAATAAAGAGTAGCTTTATCAACGTCCCCGTATCTTAAAACTATTTCCCTATCTCCGTTATCACGAAAAAAAAATTCGCTAAATTATACACAGACGTGTGAATCCGCGTCGTAAAAAAAAGAATAATTTTTTACAACAATAAAATAAAATACAGATCTATAAAATATTCAAATCAGTGTACCGCGATCAATCTCAATTATCACATGTATCAATCATATACAATTTTTAAAGTATCGTTGATACAGATATTTGTGTCATATTTCCAGATATACAGTATACAGTACTATTTTTTTTTTCATCATTTATCTATCTACATAGTTATAAACCTATTTTTTACCATCAATCCAGTAGTACCTTCGATCAAGTAACAGGATCAAAATTCAATACGCCCATATACCTTGCAAGCTCACTCCCCGTGAATTCCGTTTTATCCAGATCTTTAAGACTTGAATTACTTAAAGTACTCGAACTATCAATGCTCGTATGACTTTGAATTTTATTGCCCTGATGACTCGACGATACGAGTTCGTTTTCTACCGTAAACTTTTGCTTAATCTCTTCATTATTACACTGAAGAAATAGACCATTAGCTTCGGCTTTTTTACCGTCAGGAAAAATACCTTTAAAAAAAAAGTAACATAATGAATTTAGAGTTTTAAATAAATCCCTCAATTCAACCAATCTAACTTTAAATAAATATAAATTTATTAAAATGTATGTATATTTACCAATTGTCACCGGTTTAATAGCTTTTTCGTCCTTGCTGAAACATCTATTGATAGCATGAGAAATCCCTCCATTATTATTACAGCTGTCGTTGAAACCTTTTGCCAGAGACGTAACTAAAGTTATTTCTCCTGGCCGTGACCTCGACTTAAATTTATTATTATTATTATTTATATTAAAATTTTTTTTCGTCCGCCAATTAATTACTTTGCCCGCAGAATTATTTGACGGACTAATATTATCAATACAGTGCTCCATCATTATTTGCCCCTGATTATTGTGTCGTGTCAGCGGAGCTAGTTGATGGGTATCATCGCTTGCGGATGAGGATGAATGGGGTTCACGTCTTCTTAATGTTGACTTTTGATGTCTTGAAAGACTGCTATAGGCTCGTAACTGGAGGCTGCGATTTTGTAATGATCTTCCAGCACGGCAATGATCCGCCAGCATGGTCTAAAAAAAAATGCTCTACTATTATTATTAATTTAATTATTAGAGATGTTTATTAAGGTTCGCTGTGTTTAAGTTACCTTGAATGCCTCGCGGAATTTATTGGACATTATGTTGTACAACAGCGGGTTAACAGTCGTCGAGAGGTAGTAAAATATTCCTGATATATATGTCAATACTGTATAGACAGTAACTAAGGCAGCGTGAGGTTCATTCCCGGTACTTTGGGCATAAACTGCTAGCAATCTTTGCGCGTGGAACGGTGCCCAGCAGATGAAAAATGCGACCACAACAGCAACTGCAATAAAATATATTATAATGGGTTAGTTTAATTTTAATTTAAATTATTTTTTGGATGGATTTATCGCGGCAATAAAAGCATCTAGCATTCAATTAAAATTCAATAATGTTGGTCTGTTCCAAGTGCTGTTAAACGACCCAGAAAGTTAATGAAAAAGGATTTTGTACAAAAGATTATTAGACGACACTGATGTACTACCAGCTACTCTTCAATATACTACAGCCCATTTGCTTTCATTTACGTCTTACACTCGGCCAGCTAAAAGATTTTTTTCATTACACTGTACAGGAGTATATTCATACTGACTTTTATTACGTTTTATTTTCTACTAGTGTGGTAAATTGATTTTTATAGGGCTGTATGTTTCTGTTATAATTGGAAAAATGCACCTCGTAATTATTGCTAATACCGTCTATGGTTTTAGGTAGTTAACTGTTTTGATAAATGAACATTTGTTTTATTAAAGCTTGGGTTTATATTTATTAAATTATTAAGTTTTTTTTTTTAAAATATAAAGAAGATAATAACTTTTTTTTGTTTTTTTTTTTTTTTTCACGTGACTTTTATTGAAATTTAAAGTTTCAATTGTAAACTTGAGTTTTTTTAAAGTTAACAGTAAACGAAAGTAAATTTAAAAGATCCGAAGAGATTCTGCCTTTATTCATATTTCTTCAACAGTGATAGAAGAATTTATTAACTGTTAGTAAATTATTTTTTTAATTTTTAATAAATGTTTTTTGAGAAAAAACTACTTTGGTTAACAGTTTACTATCGATAGAATTGAATTTGTCTAGTTTGCAAAATAATGTTAATAATTGACACCTTCGAGCAAAATATTTTGTAGTCCGTCATTATTATTTATTTTATGTTGAATTTTTTGCTATAAAAAAAAAAAAAAAAAAAAAAAAACTTAAAATCTGCCTAATGTATTGGAATATTTTTATTTATTTCAAGTTTTGGGATTATAAAAAGTGTCAAAATAAAATGATGGCACTTATGAGTGCATTTTTATTTGAATGAAGGGTCCAATTAAATGTTTATTGACGAATAGAAAATATTTATTGCATAATAATAAATAATAGTTTTAAAAAACTAAAAACACGCTTTTTATAAAAAACCAAACTAAAAAATAGAAAATAAATTTTAATAAATTTAAATTAAGAATAGTGTTAAAAATTTCAATAAATATAAATTAATAATAGTGTAAATAAAAAAAAATGTATTTTATTTTAAAAAAAAAGCGTGGGGTGCTTTTTAAGATATTATCAAAACGATAATCACTCTACTTATATCTGTCAATAAAATATTTATAACTATTGACACCATGCACCCCAC